AAAAAAAGACACAACACCCGGGGGGAGAGGGCCACATTTTTTTCATAACATTTTCGAAAATGGAGTAAAACCTACACATGTAGAGATTCCAATTTTTTTACGTACCAAATGGGACGTACGCTTTAAATTTTTTACTTTTTTTTTTTTTTTTTTTTTTGCGTCTTCGCTGAGCTCTTAGGCCATCCGCCGTACTGAGATGGATTCATTTGAGTGTTACACATACGCACAGTTAAGGAGGCAAAAAATGTTACATCAGGGAAGAATGTTTTAGGACAATTTTTGCCACCTCAACTGTGGGGGCATGCTCATCCGCTACTCTCGATGAGGCATCACCCCAGCGGAAAGGGAGCCCAGAAGCCTCTTCCCCACCACTTGTGTTGACGCAAACAAGGGGCATTTGACAACGTGGAGAGGAGCAAGTTCAAATGAAACATGTGCAGAATTCTCCTATTATCGCAGCTTCAACTCCAATGTGCAAATTATTGTAAACATTATTTCTCACAATTCATGGTTAGGAGGGAGTCTTTCACGAGAAAGACATGTCACTGGATATTTTGAAGCACTGGTGCCACCTATTTTTTGTGACAATTCGATACATGTTGGAGGTATCAACAAGGTGGAATTTTGTTTCGATCACGTGTCACTACAAGGGATAGCACATGTGCGGCTGTGTATATGTGCACAGATGTATATTTTTGTTGGGGAGTAGTGCCCAAAGTTATACCTTCTGCAGGGCGTCATAATGTGGGAGTGCTTGAGAGGTAGCTGGCCCCCCGCACCGGTTGACGATTCACACATGGCGATGTCACGAGAAGACCGTGTATGCGCACTGATCATTTCTTTTTGAAGACGCGAGTGCTACGTATTCTCTCAAGTTGAGAGGCTTTATTAGCAGGGTTCATTACAACGATTTAAAAAAAGCGTTTTCATAGGACTTTTTCCTCATGTTGGTATCCTATCATTTGATGGGCAGTTTTACAGCTTCCCAAGCTCTGCCATGCTTTACACCATTGTTATAATGGACCAGACGGTTTTTTCTTGTTATTTTTTTGTGATGCAGCGGTTGGGTTTCTCACGTGGTACTCCACGCCGTAAGGACAGATGCACATAAGGGGAGTTCCACATCGTTTGACAAGTTTGTCAAGATGGGACAAAAAAAAAAAAACAAATAAAAAATTTTTTGGGACAAAAAAAAAAAAAAAAAAAAAAAAAAAAAAAAAAAAAAAAAAAAAAGGGTTTTTTGGTGAAAAAAAAAAAAAAAAAAAAAAAAAAAAAAAAGAACAAAGATAGAGGGGCAGTTTTTTGGCAGCCCCAATGGGGAGAGTCATCTTTGGCGTCCTTACTTCAAGGACGTTTTGGACAGTAATAATTGCAGGGGCATGACACCCTGAAGTTGCATGCCAATCTTATGGAGTTACAGTTTATTTTTCATTTCCTCCAAGTTGTCTTGAATTTCATGGATCACATAATTTTGTTCAACCATGTGAATAGCATTGTTGTTTAGGATGACTTTGCGGACTTGATCATTTAGGAGCCTCTTATAAGAATAGAAAAGGGAAGCATTAGTGACTATATGTCCAGTGAATCTCATACGGGTTGCTTCCCTTATGGCAGCTGACATTACATTCATGACAATTGAATTTTCTTGAATAAAAAAAGTGTCCTTTATAATATTTTTGGAAGGAATGGGGATATGTTCATACGTTTTTAAATCCCAAGAATTTATCATATCGTTGAATAGGTACATAAATTTATTTTTCATTGTTCCATTTTTTTTTATTAGATGGATGGAAGATTTTTCGAAAAATAAAAATTTCAAGGAGCTATAAATTGAGAAGAGGAGCCCGTACGTGGTGATGTCAAATTGTAGTTTGTAAATCAACCGATTGAATACAAAGAGAGTTACTAAGTAATTTTTCTGGCGCATGTGTTTTATGTAGTATATATAATCATAGATAGTGGGTGTATTTTTGTTTTTCATGTCTTCAATGGACAAGTAATGTATGAAGGGATTATACACAACATTAATTTTGAAATTTAGGATGGATCGGAACAGATTTTGTATTTGGTAGTAGATGATTTTTTTTTCATGTAATTCTTTGAAGTAGTAATAACTTTTTTCGATATAGAAATAATTATGCTTTAGGAGTTTAATCCACTTGTCTTTTTTTTTCATTTCTTTTAAGGCTTTGAATGTGAGTAGCGTAGACATGGACATGATATGCTGTGCGCATGTTTCGTTCGCGTCTGGGAGGCTGATGGCCATTTCAAGGGAGCTGAGAATTTGATTCAGCTTCAACACCGTGCGGAAGATGGTGTGTTTTAGGAGCATGTTGGACCTGGTGTTACGAATCATTTGGACGAGGTGCTCGTCCAGATTGCCCCCATGTAGGGAGTGGTCATTCAAATTGGCATCGTCTAGAAACGGCTGATCTAACATGGCAGCACCCATGCAACATTCCCCCCTATCGACCCAATAACTGGCCAAGCGCGCTCTAATGAGCATAGCAAACGATTCACCATTCCGTTTGAAGAATTTCCTCTTTATTTTGTTAATTTTTTTAACCGCATTAATCTTTTTGATAGTGTGTGGGGTCATAATATCAGGGTCGATATTATCTGTCGGGGGGGTTCTGTCAATCGTGTCTGCTTTCACCAGAACCTGCTCAAGTTTCTTCACCTTGTGTGAAATTTTCTTAAATTTCGTGTGCACCTCTTGTATAACGTCACTTATAAGGAGGAGAAACGGGTACAAAGTGTCGAGATAATCTAAAAGAGAGATAATGCACTTTTTGTAGGTGGACATAATGTCTTGCACCTCATTCGGAGTAAAAGGCAACGAATTATCATTAATGTACATATGGTCCACGAAGTAATGATATCTGTTCAGGACAAAGATGATGAAGTGCACTTCGTTCGAGTGGTACAGAAAAGATGAATTTATAAATCCCGTTAGGTATAGAGAAAAGCGAAAGTATGTTAAGAAGAAAATGAAAAAAAACTCCACTTCGTAGTAATCCATTTTTATTTTTATATCATATTGGTTTTTATTTAGTTTGTTAAAGAAGTACTTGCTGAGTAATTCATCATTGGGGCAGTTCCCATCGGTGGGATCATCATTAAAACGCGTTGCACATTCGCGGATTCTACAGAAGGTTTGGAAGCATTGGAGTTTTAAATTACCCCCGTCCGTTTCGTTGTTCATTTTGTTTGTCTGGAAGTAATCCCATATGGCTTCTACGAAGATACGCTTCTTAAAAAAGGGGAGTATGATGAGCATTTTGTTGGACAAGACGTTCTGCCTGATTAGTTTTTCTGTCTGGTGTGTTGCTTTGGTGAGGTCGTCGCACTCGGCGGCGTGATTAGCTGCATGATTAGCGGCGCGACCATCAACTCGGTCAGCATACTCAATAGCATTCTGCTTAATGCCCCCGCTATAAACTCGGTTAGCGGCCCAATTATGTGCACCCTCTGCGCTCGCCCTATCAGCTTCCGCCTCGTTTTCAAAGACGTCATAAACATTGAACGTGTCGAACATGTCCCAATTTGTGTGCAAGTCATCATTTTCCCCTGAACACGCATTCCCTACATAATCGATGCGCTCAAATATTTGAATTAATCTATCATCCTGGTTGTACCCCTCGTCTGTGTGTGCACTTAGATTGCTAATGGTGTTATTGGATGTACTGCTGTTCCCATCGAACTCGCTTGTGCTCTGATATATCTCCGATTTGTTTGATTCGAAAATTTTGGAAGTTTCAGAGGAGTCGCTACTGTTGTGTCGTGAGTCTTCACATATATATGAATCAGTTGCCTTGTACCTGCTTGGTTTGACTAGCAGTTCGCTTCCTTGTTGTGACTCCTTCCCACAAATTTTACATTTCTGGATGTGTGCAAAATTGTGATTATTTGGACCATGTCCCTTTGTTCGGTGGGTCCCCCTGCCACCTCTCCCTTCACAGTAGGTATCGCCTCTGCGGTTTAGTACAAATTTGTGTCTGTTCCTCAATTTTTTTTTTCTCTTGTCTCTTCCTTCACTGTGTTGTCGAAAGTGGCACTTCCTCTTTTTCATCTTGTGATGTTTATTTTGTTGGGGAAACGCATCTTATGAGTATCTACCATAGCAATTAGTTAATTGTTCTCTATGCCCTTATCGCGTACCTCCACTGGGGCTTGAACTGTCGTTGGAGAAATTGATGCAGTCCGGGGTGAGGGGTATATACATGTAAGCGCGATGCGTTTACATGTATGGTAGTGCACATGTGTGTATAGGTTTATATAATCAGATAATCCCTTTGTGGATGCTGAGATGTTTTTTGTTTTTTTTTTTGTTCAAAAATTGGGAGGTGCTTCTCTGATGAGAGGCGCTGTGGCTTCCGGGTATACAAAATGTATTTACTAATTTGTGCACAAAGGTGTAAAGGCGGGATGGGGATCTTCAATTGGGGGTCAAGGCAAACTGGGAAAAATTACAGCATCGCATGGGGATGGATTCGATTTGCACATCTACAGTGCAGTGAAGAGGGGTAGAAGTAGAGCGTCATTAGGAAAAGTAGTCTTGTGTCAGGGACTGTTATTCAAATGTGTAGAAGGGGGTGCGGATATCAACAGTTTCATCTTTCGTATTTTTATTTTTATTTCTAAAACCTGATAAAATGTTATTTATGAAATTTAGGAAAACACACACATGTTGAGGAGATTAGAAAAAAAGTGAAAGTCTCCGAAATATTAATTCGTTCCACTTCTATGATAAAAAAAAAAAAAAAAAAAAACCATAGACTTATGAATACAGAAATGCGTATTAAAATGTAGAGAATGCACAAATGGGCGTTTTTATCAATTTTGAGAATGCTTAGCGTTATTAATACAGAAGCATTTTAGACCCCCATTGTTTTTATTCGAGCTGGAATGTTTAATCATGTTGTCCTTGCTTGGCCACCTACTAGGTAGAGAAATTAAATACGAATGGTTAATTTTTTCGAATAAGCACAGGGGAGGTAATTAATGGGAGTGTGCACATGGAGGGGTCTCGACGGGACGGCATAATTTTGGATTCAACAACGTGCGTTCATGTGTTTTTATAAGAACACTTTGGTAGATGTGTTTTATTTGTGATGGGTATTTCATTGGTACTACTGCTGGGTATACTAATTTCTTTTTTTTTTTTTTACATTCGGGGAACATTTTAAAGTTCGGATTATTTAGTCATGTAGATATTTTCTCTTTCTCCTTTTTCCTTTTTTGGCACGCTATTCCGTGGGCCGTTCAGCTGTGCGCGAAAAGAGTAGGACTTGACGGGGGGAACATATGCCGCGGCTCTAGTTTAGCTGCTGAGGCAGTCGAAGAATCGCTCCCAGTGTGGATGATCTTACCTCGTGCTGCCCCTAATTATAACGCATAAAGCGGTTTTGCAAAAATAGGCCAAGTGGTGGGTGAATAGCAGAAGGTCTAGACAATTTGGTTGCCGCTGTAGTTTGCGGGGTGTTGGTGCCCAACGTGGTTTAATTTGTTTATTTCTTTTCCCTCTTTCGGGCGTACACATCAGCGGGGGACTGAGGAAAATCCTGGTGAAAAGGATTCCCCCCAAATTTGCAATTTTTCCTATTGTTCTTTTTTATTGGGAAGGAAGTTGGGCACATTAAACTGTTCCGATTTTTGCCTCTCATGTAGGCCGGTTATATATATACATTTTTTAAATGAAAAATATATATTTTTTTTTTTGTTTTTGCCCGTTCGGTGCACACTGTCTCCTTTAACACGGCGCATTTTTTAGAATGTTCCATTGTAGTGTCGCTCACATGTTTGAATTGTCCTTTTTTGCAAAATTGAAGAAAGTTGGTGGGAGATGGAGGGGGAGAAAACGAACGGGGTGATAAAAAAACGATGGTGCACACAAACATACAAATGAGCAAACAAATGAACATATGGGGACATGTTGCTGCTAATTATTTCTGGGACAACGAGAGCCTTTTTGGGTATCCTCTTTTTCGTCACCATCCTCTTTTGTGAAAAATAAGGAGACACAAATTTTTGTAGCACTTCGAAAAAAAAACACAAAAAAATTGTACTACTTTTGTAGAGGTGCTTTAAATTTTTTTTTTTTTTTTTTTTTTTTCATTCTAGACGCAAATATGAACATTGAGAAGGAATTACAAAAAGAAAAAATGTACATCTGTCCATTAATCTTAAAGTAAGCACTTGTCAAAAGGGGAAATAATGGGATTGTTAAAAAAGGCATGTGAGGTGTTTATGGTATCTCCCTGGGTAATGGAAGTGCATATGTATAGATAGACATATTCGAAGAAAAAAGCGGACATAATCGGCATCAAATTTGTGCTTATCCGTTCGGGTGATGTGTGGGATGGGGTATTTTGTACACCCACTGGTTGAGTTACTCTTTCTATGTGAATCGTCACGTTGTTTGTTAAGGGGGGTGGTACAATCCGCCTAACTACAGTGTGTTCACAGCGACATATAATAATGTAGAATTGATGCTAATGCAGAGTTATAGTTGAAGTGTCTATTTTTCGCGTTTCCTCTGTAAGGAGGATATATAACTTGTGTTATGTACAGTTTTGCGTTGTTTTGCCGAATAGGTGGCACATTTATTTGGAGCTGCAGGTACGTTCTCATTTGGGTATGCTGCTCCCCCTCCCATCCTCTGCTCTTAGGTAACTCTTCTGAGTAGTAGAAGGTAAATATCGCTAATATTTTCAGGATTAAACGGATTACTGAGTTTTTTCATTTTTTCATCATTGCATTTGTAGAATCCATCTGTATGCTTAACGACGGCTGTGTAGTGGCCATTGTAACTGTTTCCGCTGTGACAAATGAAGCTCTCGATGAGATATTTCGAGTTGGATAAAGACTCATGGTTGGACATGTAAGCAAAGGAGGTAAAATCAATTAATCCATCCCATGGGAGTAAGACAGTTGTGTCAATTTTTTTCACTCTACTTTTGAAATAATTGGTGCACTCGTAACTCCACTTAAATCGTTTGATATAAATAATCATATACAGATTTGGCATTCTGTATAGGCCTTTTTTAATGGAGCTATTCTGTTTGGATTTACAGATGGGGCAAAATAATTGGCAAAAATCGTCGCTCTTCATGATATTACTTTTTAATAAATCAATTAGTGATGTACTTTGTATGTGTTCACTTTGGAATTCTAACCCTAAGTCTAGGCAGAATTCAAAACTGTGTCTTGTATGACCACAATGTGTGCAAGTTATGCTAGAGACATTTTGGAACCCTAAAAGGTCTGTTATTATGCTGTTATCCTTAAATAGGTATTTTACCCAGTACTTTTCTGATGCCTTTTCTTTGCTATCTTTATCGTCGAGGACGATTTCGAAATTTGGTGGGAAATTAGAATCGCGGTTGCACTCAACGTTTATATAGTTTAGTAGCATTAACAAGAATTCGTGTGCATCATTTTGTGCATTGATGACTATGGTGTTATTATATTTCCTCATTTTTTTCAAAAGATTAATATGTTTGTCTGTGCATAGGTACCCTTTTTCAGCATTGTACGTTTCTTCAATAATGTAAAAGAGTGCCTTCAGTATGTCTCCCTTATACTTTGATTTTGATTTCGCTGTTCCGTATATTTTCTCAAACTTGCTTAGGAGGTATATACAGAGCGGTTTGATCGACAGTAAGAGTTGAAGGGATGCATTGCAGTAGCACACGTTTCCATTGTTCTGGAAGGACGTGTGTCTCCTTTGAACATTTGCGTAGTTATCATACTTGGCATAATATTTGTAATTCTTCGCATAGAACAAATCATGCAGTTTGTTTTCAGTGAGGTTCATCTTGTCTCATTTTGGGTGCAATGGTGTGAGGTGCTTGGTAAAATATTCCCTCTGTTGAAGTTATGAGGTTACCTTCACGGATGGGAAAGAAAACCCGAGCATTCACTTGTGTGGGTTTATGCGAATACGCCTACTTGTACGGGTGGCTCTTGACGTCTGCATTAAGTGCGCCCATCTGACAGCTGCTCGAATAAATAAATATTTATCTCTTTCTTAATTGTGCACACGATATGGTGGCAACTGCGAAAATTTTCATTGTTTTGCTACTGAGGAGTTTTTCGTTTTGCTTTAATTTAGCACTGTCGATGTTGTGATTTCTTTGTGCCTCCTCTTCGCAGTGGAAACTGTGGCACTAGGTGTCCGGTGGCGTTGCTCTACGAATGTGTGCAATGAAGTATATACTTGCGTTTGTGGGGGGAACGATACTTCCATGTGGCCACTTGTACGTTTTGTGCTAGTGGCCAGGGACAAGGATCGGTGCGCCCTTCCGTGTGCACTTTGGAGGTTCCCCTTTAAAATTTCCTGTTATAGCTGCCTGTTTTGTAGTTAAAAAAAAAAAAAACAACAGTAAAGACGGACGAATGAATAAAAAAAAGCATATTCCAACCCTTTCTACTCCTACTTCACGCTTTTTTCTTTTTCCAACAACGTCCACAACAAAGTAGAAATTATATCAATGTAAACCAAAAAAATAGGGGAAATAAAAAAAAAAGGGGACACAAATTGATAAACATGTGTCGCAATCCGTTCGAATGCGAAACCTGCTGCTTGGCAGGAACGGGAATGAATTTTTACTCATGCATATAATCGCGCATAAGTACACTGTATACGCACGCTGATATTTATGTAAGTATGCATTTGCGCTTCTATGCATGCATACACATACACATGCGTACTTTTGCGTTGGTTCGTACATTTATACAACATCCATTTTTCGCGCATGTATGCTGCGAGGGTGTGGGAGGCAGTGAGAAGAAACAGTCGGGACAAAAATAAACGTTTGACAAGGAAAAAAAAAAAAACAAAAAAAAAAAAAAATAACGGTGTGGGAAAAGGAAACAGTCAAAATTTGCATAGCGTAGCATAACGTCACATTTATGTAGTGATGCACCTTCAGGGGGAAAAATCTCTGCTAACATGTTTTCTTTTTCTTGTCATCCCCAGTGGAGTCTTCTTAATTTGTTTTGCACAGCAGCATGGTTCATGTTAAGGTTATTAATTTCGTAAAAGGGAAATGTGCGCACCTTTTATGTTTCACAAAAAATGGGTTTTTGGTGGTAGTGGGTGGAGGCATCGTGCAGGGGATGTTGCATTACGCAACATGGCAAAAAACAGAAAATTGGAAAAAAAAACATATACAGGGGGGACAGCATCGTACATGCTTCCCCTTTTCCGCGTGCTATACAAACGTCTATTCATCAATACATCCTTGTTGCGTACGCATATGATTATGTGCCCGCTAGTGTGGGGCATAAACGAAGAAAACAAAAAAGCGGCAGTTAGTGTCAAAATGTGCGCGAAAACACTATTGCTACGTCATTTCAAATAAACACATTTTATATAAAAAACAAACGCAGGAATAAGCCACGATGACAGGCGTGTGTGAATACAATCATGGCGGACATATAAGCAGACATATGATAAGGGACATTAGTACACAAACAAAAAACACACATGAACAAACACAAACACATGCACTTTCGTGTGCACGGAATTACAAATGCGTTCCCCCGCAGGTGACACCCCTTCCCACACATCAGCCCCATAAGGTACCGGCGTATTTTTGAAAAATGACATCCTCATCAGCCACGTAATAAAGCTTTACTTTTTTGTACATCAGTTTTTCAAGAAAAGCGTCGTACTTGGACGGGACGTAGTATCCTTCGCTTTTGAGAGTGAAGTTAGCATCCTTGGTGCTTCCTGCCCATTCATGTGTTGTCCAACTTGCACAATTCGTGCTGTTTACTCGGTCTGTTTCGTTTGTTCTTCGTTTTCCTTTCCTTAAAATGTCATCATCAGTGGACAGTTCTTCACCCGAACTTGTGCTGTTACCAAATATGTAGCAGGCCTTTTTCTTGCCTGGGGGGGATGATGATGTTCTATTTATTTTCGTCTTCCTTTTATTGGTTAGTACCAAATTGTTGAAGTCGTTAACAATTTTGTAATTTTTATTTAGCTTGTACATTTCGCTCCTCTTTGATATGTACATCAGTTTGAAGGCAATGAAGTTGTCCTGACACATGCCTTTTAGCAGAAAGTTCAGGTCGCAGAAGCTCAGAATTTCGATACTCTTGTATATCTGTGAAGGGTGGAAGAGCGTGTGCAACATTGGAACATGTGAAATGAGGTAGTGAACATGCACACAAGATGACGCTATAAGCGTCAAGGCGTCTGTGTTGTTTTTCTGTGTGTTTGGGAAAGGGACAGCGATGTGAAGAACTGGGTCACTCGTTTTCAGGGGGGGGGGGGTGCAAAATGGGGCTAAATGAGGGCAGAGAACATCTTTACGTTGCATATATTACTTCGGGGTTTAGCACCTTTGTCGAATTGGGCGTTGTTATCTCAACATGGCGCAGATGTGGGACGCGCGGTTGGTAGACAAAAAAAGTGTGACCAAAAATAAGGCTTTTTTTTTTTTTTTTTACACCCCCTTGAAATGTGTCCACTTCCCAGTTTCGCTCTTTCCTTACGTCAAAGATGGAGGAAAACGGATTTGCCTTGAGGTAAAAGAACACTTTTAAAATATAAAAAAAAATAAATTTGACGTTGATACTTCCATTCATGTAAGTAAAGCTATTTACATTTATGTAGTCATCATTAAAGTAGTAAAGTGTAATGGTTTTGCAAAGTGGGGAATCATTTTTCCGTTTGTATGCGAAGAGCATATACTCAAAATATTTACAGGCGTTGTTAATAATCCTTTTTATATATCTTATAACGCGGGGGTAAGATTTATTTTCAATGGAGTACAGCAGTTTATCTCCCAGTTTGGTGCGATAAATATGATTCTCTTTAAATCCGTTTTGCGTTTCTTCCTCAAGGGGCTCTTTCATTTTACAAAAATATTCCAACAGGTACAGGAAAAAATAATCATGAATGATGATGTAGCATGGGAGGTTAAACAACAGAATTAGTCTTGGGATGAAATTCGGTTTTCTGAGCGTGTTGTTATTTGTGTAATTTATGTATATGTAATCAGTATAGACTAGTTTTCTCTCGTTGTAAATGACTTTTTCTTCAACGTTTTTCTTGCCCACGTATTTTTCGTCCGGGGTGTTTGTTTCCTTCTTTTGGCGGTTTAGCAGTGCCCCCTTCGAGAGCACTCCCCTCTGGAGTAGGAACTTCTCGAACACCTTCGCGTCATTCTCTGTGCTCTTCTTAAACTCGAGTTTAGAATTAGCCAAGTGAAAATTTATCATATTCAAAAACGGGTACTTCAAGTTGTGTTCATAAAACACATTTTTCCTTTTACACGCATTATTCTCACTATGATACTGGGGTACAAAAATCTTATGCGTATTCATGAGGGGGAATATATTTATAAGGTTTAATTTGTGTAGAAGGAACAGGATGAAATCATATTCCTTTTTTACTTGTGTGTATTTCTTATAAGTTGCATCTTTTAAAAATTCTTGTAAATACATTTTTTTCAAACTATCCATAAAACGTCCTTCTTTTTTTTTTTTTTTAACAGATAAAAGGATGAATATCATTTTGCGAATTATTTTGTTAAACAGGGAGGAGCTCTTTTGGGTGTTTGCTTTGTCCTTATTGGGAGTCTCTACATCGTCAGCCTGTTTCCGTGAGGTTTTGTGTTTCTTCGCTTTTTGGCTGTTAAGCCGCTTCACCATTCCTATGACTCTTAGCTCGTTCGTCTTTAACTTGTTCAGATTGTAATACTCTTCATTGTCGTCGTTTGCCAATTCGGTTGGAATTTCGATGGGCTCTTCGCTCAGAACGCGATCAACTGGATTTTCCTCCTCGTCTGCTTCTCCAAGTTCCCCATTGGGGCTATCGCTTCTACGTTGTGCACTATCTCTACAGATGCTAGGATCGTCCCAGATTAAGCTATCGTGCTTAGCTTCATCGATGTCGCGGCCTCTGTACATCTCGTTGAGCTTTGCACATTGAGAACTTTCCCTTTGCTTTTTTTCGGATGTGTCATCCTCGCTGTTTTCACAATCATCGTATGTGTTTAGCATATCGCTCAGGTAGAAAACATGATATAAAATTTGTGTAACGAAGATAAATGACTCCTTAAGAGTATTCACCCTTTTTCCTTTTCCTTTTTTAACCTTCACTTTTTTTACAAAAGGGTTTTTCCGTTCGTTATAGCGTTGGGGTGTTTGTGTGTGTGTTTCTTTTCCCTGTTCAGTGTAGCCTCCCGTAGGTGCCATTTCTGACCCTTTCTGCTTGTACATGTGTTCGCATGGCTGTCCTATGTTTGTTATAGAAGAAACAGAATGGGTGTTCCTTTTTTTGCTCCCCAGTTTGGCCCTTTTGTGGTTGTCTCTTTCGAGCCAATAAACGCTATTCTTAAGATTGGTGACTTGGATATCCAGCAAAGACTCGACTTTCTTCGGGGTATTCGAAATGTAAGCGATGTTATATAGGTGGATATTCTGGGGATACCAATCAAAATCGATGAAGGATTTTTTGCTAATATTATAAATTAGTAATTTGTTCTTAGTATACATGAAATTGTTGTGGAAGTTATTTTGTTGTACATATTTACCGAAAAGATTTGCAAAGTTCACGCGATTCGTATCATTAATGTTTAGAAGGATGGAATTCTTAAACGACCCAGTGGGCACCGCACCTCTGATGAGATTCTCGTATATGTGTACACAATATTTTTTAAAATAAGTAAAGAGATTGTTGTTTTGCTGATCGGTGTGGTAGTACAAGTGCCGCAGAGAGTAATTCAGTTTGGAACAATTTTTATCATTATCATTGGAGAAAATTTGGGACAATCTTTTTTCTATTTTTTTCTTTTCACAATCGTTTAAGATGTAGTAATTGGGAAAGTACTCACTAACATGTTTCGTTAGACATTTTATATGTTTGGTTATTCCTCCGAGAACTTTCTTTCTTCCATCATTTGCATTTTCTAGAAGTTTGATAATTTCGAAATCATCTGAAAGGTTGTCAAATATATCTGAGTTGTTGGCACTGGACGAAATGTAACTCATGGCTTTTTCTTCCTCCTGGTCATATCCGCTTGGGTTCTCCATAACGCTTGTTACGTTTCCCCTTTTGCTTTTAGAACTGTAAGAGGAGCAATTGCTCGTTCTTTTTTTTCTGGTCCGTTTTGACTTTGGTGCGTGATTTTTCTGTCTACCTTTTTTTTTATTTCGTCGTGGGTGAGTCTCCTTTTCCGAGGTGCTCAGTTGGTTACCATCCTGAGAGGAGTCGTGGTCTTCAGGGTAGGAATCGTCCCCATAGGGATCATCCGCATAATGATCGTCAGCGTAGTGATCCTCCTCGAAGTTGCCAAACTCGTAGGGGTCATCTTCCTCGTACTGGTCCCCTCCGATGGGAAAATGTCCAGTTTGGGCATCCTCATCCGCCAGTATGTAGTTATTACATGCGTACAGGATCATGTCCCCCTTGAGGAACTTATGCACATAGTAATTTAGGTCAAAAATGGTTAGCTTCTTCTGGAAGTAGTACTTTGTGCATTCTCCATTAGAACTTGCGTTCGGGAAGTTATCATTTTGCATGACGTCGTACGTGTCGTGGGGAGGGACCGGGTATTCCCTGTGATCATAAGTACGGCTGCTCAAATCATTTAGCATGGGGCATATATTCGGCTGAGCGTTGCAGTTGAAATGTTTGTAACCATTCTGCGGCGCTGTACCATTCGTAAATTCCTCAAAATACGCTCCCTCTCCGATTATGCCATCTTCATCCCCATACACTGCATCCATGTGGTAGAGTAATTCCCCTAAATGACAGTTAGGGATGTTCCCATTCCTTTGCAAGACATCCGCTTGGACGGTCTCCGAATTTTTCGTAGAGTGGTAAACTCCATAGAGGTACATAATATCCACAACGTTGTCCAGAAAGCATTTCTTCAAAGATAGCGATAATTTCTTTTTGTAAAAAATGGCTTTATATATAAGGTAGGAATACACATTGTCGCACACAAGGTCATTGGCAATGTAATATGATAAGACGTATGATGTATCCACGACGTAATTTCTTTTTTTTATAAATCTTAGGGCATTTTTTATGTCCTTCATTTTTTGAAAATACAACGGTTTAGTAATTTCCCTGTACAGTGAGTACTGATCCCTATAATTTATTATAAAAATATTTAACAAATTCACAAGCGAGATAAATTTGAAGTGGAAAATATTTTTTATGTACTTATCGTAGTAATAATTGATATTGGCGTAGTTAGAGTTGTATATGTGCGTTGCAAAGTAGTTCAGAATACATCTAGCCAAATTTTCATTCGACAAAATGAAAAAATAGTTAACAATGTTCTTTTTGAAATAGAGGAATAGCTTTTTCTGGATGTACGTGCACACGTTATGTTTGAATTTTCCGATCATCATATTGTTTGCCTTAATCCATATACTCTTTCTGTAGGGTTCCGAGTTTGTCCTATTTTTTAAATGGTATATTACGTGAAATTTTCTCAGCTGGATTGAGGCAAAATTGTTGGGATGGTCTGGCATGTCCGAAGGGGAGGATAGCAATGCCACACATTGTTTTTTACGGCGTTTCAATTCGTTTCCTTTATGGTAAAGACTTGGGGATGTAGTGGTGACTCCACTGCGCAGTTGCCCTTTTTTCCTTCGGTCCTTGGTAAATTTGTTCTTCTTCGCGCGTAATTTCTTGTGTTCGTTTGAGGAGCGTGCCCGGGTTATTTCTCTGTCGTTGGAAATATCGTGTAGGATATGTTTATCCATTTCGTCATTATCGTTGATCGATAATACCCACCCCGATGAAGAACAATTTTCTCCATTTTGATGCGACTTGTCTAGAAGAAGTTGCTCATTTTGACGTTCGCTTTTTTTTTTTGCTTTTTCCAAATATTTCTGCGACATGGCTAGCTTCACAATTACACTTACAAAATAAATATAAACTATGCGCAGGGAATATTTTACCTTTACGTTTTCTATGAAATTGTTTAAATTTTTCGAGTTCCCATTTTTGCAGCTACTTAAGGGAACATTGGCAGGTTCCCCACAGTATGTACTGTTGACCTTATCTCGCATAGCAATAATTTCTGCGTGTTTTCTCTTAATGTGCGTAGATTCTTGGTGCATCAGTTCAATATCATTAGATGAATTGACTTTTCTCCTTTGTTGATTCATTTGTGGCCCATTCTCCAACTGCTTTTTAAATACTTCGCAGGGGGGTTCAATTGTAGGTTCGTACATGTTGGCGTTTTGGTCAATATAATGCAAAGACTGGGGTTCCCCTATACCTGTGGAATTTCCCCCCCTAGGTGGGTTGACCAGATTGAGGTTATTCAAATGGCTGTGGAAATTGTACGGAGAGAAGCCGCTTGAGTTGGCTTTGACTCTATTTTTGATCTTCAAAAACTCGCTAAGCTTCTTATGTATCATTTGCTTCGAATTTGAAAAGAAGGAAATGAGGTCTGAAAAACTCCTGTTTACATTATGCACATTGGATATGTGGCTGAGCAAATCGTTTTTAAAAAAATATATGTTGTTGCAGAAGGGGCATGAAAAGGACAGGTCTTTCTCTGTCATGGTTGCACCCCCATTTTTTTCTTTACAGTACCAATCGTAAAAGATGGAAAAGTATTTTTCAATGTTACCTCTAGATACGTTATATGATTCCCTAAATGTGTTGTATTCCCTGTAGGTTGTTAAATTTTCTGCTAGCTTTGAATTTGAAATATTTTTTTTTTTCACTTTTTTAACTAAGCTAATGAAGAGATTTCTGAGTTTCCTTGTTAGGAATAATTGGTTGGTGTAGGCATTGTGTAGCAGGAGAAACTTGAGTCCTTTGTTTTTAATTTTGGAGTTTTTGAGAATGTCTTGTATGGTCAATTTTTCGCTCGCGCTTTTTCGCATGTGCCCTTCTACGAGAAATTTCTTGAACCGTTCAACGGTCAGCTGAAGGGGGGAAACAGCAAGGAAGTTCGAATGTGTATGTTACAGATATACACTCTCGTGATTATCTAATCAAACATAGCACAAGAAGGTGGAAAACTGAACCCGTATGAACACTCATCAATGGACACTTACATATATGTTGTAGTAGTATTCTTCGAAGTGGTTGTAGCGAAGCATGTTGTAGATGCGCAATTTCTTTTTACTCTTTTTGGACGCGAACAAGTGAATACTAACGTTTTGCTTGATACGAATCTGCAAATTGTTCTTTTTTAAATCTAGGAAGGATAAATTAAGTTCCCTATTTTTTGGATTTGAACCAACGCTAGGTTTCCATTTTTGAGGGTGATTTTTATTCATGTCTTTAAATTTAAGTTTTACTAAATTCATGTTGCAGAGAAATTTTAACTTTCTGTATAAGAAAAAGAACACGCATATTTTGTCATTGCTTTTGATAATGTTTACGTCATGCTGGCACAAATGGTCACTGTTTAGTTTTTCATATGGCTTATCGCTGTCTCGCGTATTCTTGTGTACTTTATTCGTAGTGGTACTCGGTGTTTCCGCCGCGGTTGTGTAATGCGGTGGGGAGGTCATATGGTTCCCGGTGCTCCCGTTTGTTACGAATGCGCTGATTGGTGAATTGAGGAAATGCGCATGATCATTCTTGTTTAGGAGAAAGCTTTCGATCATACGCTGCTTGTTACAATTTAGTGAAGAATAGGACGTCAAAAATTCGAAGAGAATTGGGGGTAAGTCTTTCATTCTCTTTTTTCGTTTTTCATGTAGGAGATAATCTTCTATGTATTTGAGTTTGCATCCCACGCTGATGATTTTTAGGTATTCGTCTAGGTAGAGATTTTTTAAGATGTCCTTCACGGTTAGTGTGTTGCTGCTTTGTTTCGAAGGTACTTGATGGGCCCTTTTAGGGGACGAATTCCTTTTCATTGTTTCTATATATGATAATCTCCTCTTTTTTGGGTTATCCGGACTTGGAGTGAGTACAGCTTGTGTGTCACATTCGTTTGCTTTTTCTGCAGTGCGCGCTTTTCTTGCCTTTTTCCTTTTCCTCTTCTTCCGCTTTAGTATCCTTATTAAGCATTTGTGGAAATATTTATATCTGGTCATTTTTGAAAATATGTACCCGTTGAAATAGCTTATGCTGTATGAAAATTCCTGGGTGGTTTTACAATTTTGAAAAACTTTGCTGGTTTTTATTTTTTTACTAATAATTTGGTTTTCCTTACACTTAAAGGCTGATTCGTTTAGTATGTCAATATAGAGCACGTTATAGGCCGTTCCTTTTTGGTTTAAACTTATGCCAGCGTTGTTGTTGAGGCTGAGTTGCGTACTAGGGTTGTTACCTTGTATTTCTGCTATGGGGTGTCCCGCTCTGGAAATCTCATTTTTATCATTGAAGGTGGAATTTATGCCACCTTTATTGGAGTGGTATGGAGTTACTTCATCATGGTCGCCATTTGGATGTTTGTTCTGAATCCAACATATTTGGTGCGGCTGATCCATTTTACCTCTTTTATTGAGAAATTTGGTTGAAGGTGTGTCCATTTTTCTTTTGCTGCTTCGATTGGCTACTTCTACAGATTCAAATGAATTTATCGTTGTATCATTCGGAATTGGGGCGGACAGGTTAGCACCCGTTTGGTTACATCTACCTTTTATGTCTTGGAGGTTATTATTAGGGTCACCCATATTCGCTTCTCCATTGTAGAGTGTGCTATGCCACACTTTGCGGTCTACACATGTAGCTGAATAATTGTACGATGTCACTCCCTTGTGGTGACTATTTTCTGGATATTTCGTGAGATCGATAAAATGATCTTCCAGGGCCTTTTCCCGATTGGAAGAAAAATAAGCACCATCGACCCCGTTACTATACATGTGTGCGGTCAAGTCGGAATCATCTTTTGTGGGGGCGCCCCCTTGCTGCGCAGAATCGGTAGCACTTTTCGTTTTCTCATTGAAAATATTAACGGTGTATTTAAATTTCTTACTGATTATGTTACCACTGGATATATTATAATATTCTGTTTTCTCTTTGTTGGTTTTATCATTAGGGTTCGCGTGCTTGTACGACGAAATGGCATAGTCCTGTTGAATTTTTGCATACAAATCGTTGGACTGCTTTTCGGATAGGACATTCGAATCGTAGAAATAGTACTTAACAGTTTTGCTGTTAAGAAGTGTGTATTTTTTAAAAAAGGAATTAATTTTGGTGGAGTAATTAAAAAGCCTTTGAACGGATTTTCTATCAATCGTCCTTCCATTGCTCTCTATGGCATTAAATAAATCTTGGAGATACCGAAATGTAGTCACCTTGGAACTTAGCAGGAAGTGGCAAAAAATGAACAGTCTCTTAATAAAGAGGTTACTTTTTAACTTGGTCGTATCTTCCATGAAGTATTTAATAAAATTGATGTCCTTTTCGGATGAGACCACCTTATTCATGGCTGGGACATCTTCACGCATTACGCACGTATCATCGTGTGTCGATTCCCTTAGTATGGAACCCTGATTCTTCTGCTTCCTCACCTTTGCACTGTCACATGCACACGTGGCATTACTGATGTTCTGTTTCAGAACAAATTTTAAGTAGTAAAAGAAATGAAAACTGCACGTATACAAATCATATTTATCTTCAAATATTTTGAAATTCTTCACATAATGCTCAAAAAAATCTTTATAGTTGCCGAAATTGTCCACTGAGTCCTTCTGCTTCGGTATGATGTAGGTCAGTACGTTTATGTCTATTTCGCTCACTGTGTTGATGTAGTTTAACACATTCAAGGATTCGTTTAATTTGTTAAATTGTATGTGACTAAAGTTTTCCTGCGTGATGTTGTTACTATTCAAATTTTCAGTTGGTTGGCTCATACATACGGCATGGTCATCCGTCGGGATGGCACTTCTGTCTTGGTCTGGTGAGCCGCTCAACTTTGGGTCAACGGGAAGCAAGTTTCTGTTCCCTTTTAAGGATAGATCATCTACCATGATTTCCCTTCCCATTGAATGGTCTCCTTCACCGGGAGCTGCCTCGTCATTTTTTACTACACACTGCAACATTTGATTACCGTTGTAAGCAAGGGCATGTGGCCTCTTCTGCACATACTGGTAAATGTAATTGTCAATAAATCTGTACATAAAGCTTTTGTCCTGCCGTTCTGGTATTTTTACAACTTCCTTGTTTCTAACCAGCTTACTAAGAAAGGTGTTCGTTTTTTTAATGGACATCAAGAGTACCTGTGATATTTCCTTGGTTGTCATACCCCTTATGCCTTTGCTCATAATTAGGTACTTAATTTTGTTGTAGAGTGACAGGTGGTTCAAGAGCAAATTTTTATTCTTAACAGAGTTATTGGTGTAGGTGTTGTTATCCGAATCGCTGTCTAAGGTGGAAGAGGCAGACGATTGCGAGGATGACGATTTTTTGTTTCCATCATCAGTCGGTTTGTTATTTTCTTCGATTTCCTTTGGCAAATCTTCAGCCTTTTTATTTTCATAGATAAAGGAAAACTCTGATTCGCTAGATTCTTCTTTCTCGTTATGCGAGCTGGAGTAATAATCCGTGTCGTTAAGTCTATGGTGAATGTTTAAATCCACGTAATTTTTGAACTCATTTATTTGCAAATTGCTGTTTTTTTCATTCATGAAGATATTTTCTTCGTCACCCAAGGTGCTGTCTCTGCTTTGTAGTGCGTCCACGGTACTTTCGTTTGGGTGTACTCGCGGGGGGAAGTGGCTCATCGGAGGTAAATCTCCATTTGATGCACTATGATTTGTTGGGCTGCACGCCGATCCCCGTATCGTGCAACCTTCCAAGTGCTTGGACGTCCCATGGGAGGCACTCTGCACGGGGTGGTGCGATGCCGACTGGGTGGACGTGTTCCATCTTTTTAGGTGTATCCCCAGTTGGTCCCACGCACTCGCTTTGGTAACGTTACTCCTGAAGAATTCATTTTTGAATTCAATTTTCTGGACATAATCTTCGCACATCAAGTAACAAGATTTGTTTATAAACTTGATGAGGTAATCATAATTGTAGTAAAACAAAATGAGAAAGTTAATAATATTGTCGTAATTTATTTTATCTTTATTTTCATAATTTAAATAGCAATTTTCGTACGATGAATGGATTTTAATTTTACACATTATTATTTTCTTCTTGCAAATTAGGTGGGACAAAATGGAGTTGAATATCTTCAGGGCCTTTTTAATTTGTATATAATAGTATGGGTTGTACACAATTAGCAGTTTGAAAAATATGAGGGACAAAATTTTCTGTGGTATTATAATGAACTTGTTTAGGAGGTGCAAAATGATTTTGTTTATCGAAAGGACATTCTGAGAATATAGCACGTTCTTTATAAATATGGGTAGCAAATTGTATATAAAATAGATGTTAAAGTATAGAATGTAGGACGGATTCAACTTTATGGTATTGTTTCTGCTGCTACTATGGGTGTTGTGGTTGCTATAATCTAGGGTTTTCTCCAAATTATTTATGTTGATGCTTATTTTTTTTATTAGCAAATATTGGAATAAAACTTTTAGGTGGTAATGGACCATCTTGACATCCATGTTGAGGTACTTCCCGAGAGAGCTTTGAATGAGTCCGTTGTATTTCCCCGAAATGATGTACAACAGGATCAATATTTTCTCTTTGCACTCTTTGATTCTTTCGTAGTAAAACAGATTGTGCTTGTTGTATATATAGATGTTATTTATGTAAACAGTGAATTGAGTGGCTGTATTTAAGATGATATTTAGGTCTTCATCTAAGGGGGATTCAACATCATTGTTGTATTGATCTAGGTGGACTCGACAATTGTCTGTCCGTGGCTTGCCAGGTCCACCGGACGTGGTTTCCTTCCTCCATTGTTGTGATATGCTTACATCTTTGCAGTAGTACAAAACTCGCAGTACTTCTCTCTTCATGTACACATCCATGGGTACGTTTTTATTTCTCTCCAAATTTTCGAATAACTCCTGCAGTGTTATGCAGTAGTTAACTTGACTCTGACTGTTGTTATCACTGTCCTCTTTTTTTTTACTATAAGAGGTTATTACCTTCTTGTTGAAACTCGTGCATAGTTCGTCAAAAATGTATTTCAACAGCACTCTATCCATTGTGTAGTTTGGTGTTCTAGGGCTAAGAACGCATTAAGTCGAACATTTGCGGAACGCCAAGATGTTCATTCCATAGGGGGTGAAAGCAGTGGCATATTAACAGCTGCCCACTAGTTAGGCACATAAACATGTCTTAAACAAACATATGGGAAGGATTGAGTCAAATTTCAAAGAAAAAATGACATTAGGGGAAGTAAGAAATCACAATGGTAGAATGGAAGCTGTTCTAGACAAACATACTTCAGCACAAACTGAAGGGACGCTTTTAATGTTGCATCCCCGTGGGTCGTACCTCACGTTGATTGACGAACTTGGTGAATTGCAAAAGTGGCGAACAAAAAAAAAAAAAAAAAAAAAAAAAGAGCAATAAACGAAATGGACACAAAATGACAAAACAAATGAGTTAATTTCCCTCACAAATGGGTGTCATGCTAGCTGAACTAAAGCTTAAAAAAAAAAGGTCACATGAGTTGTACGAAACAATTCCGCATGAAATTGGGGAATAAACAAAAAAGAAAACAAGTATATATTTACAAATTTTTGCAAAATTACAGACTGGGCGATATGCCCATTCTTAAATTATGTTTTAATTAGGTAAACACGGTAGGTGGGATAATTATCGGGGCGTTGTTCTGCCCCCCTTTGGAAATGCAAGGGGGAGAAATGGAAAATAGGGGCATACGCCATTACGTAAGCGGCGGCAGAAGTAGTGTGATGCTATGTTACATGAACGGCGATACAAATACGGCCATGCTTTGCCACATATATGTCACAATATATGGGACACAAACTGAGTTATACAAGGCATAAATGGGAACATAACACAAAAATGGTATAAGTAGTTAATCGGTGTGTCCATCCATTTTGCCATATACTCCTGTGGTACATTTTGGAGTGTTTTTCTCAGTTTATTTTATTTTGTTAATATGCTCTGGCACACGCGAGGAGAACCAAGGGAATGGTTTTTTAAATTGAGATTTGCATGGCCGGGTTGAGCATTTACAGTGACGTGCGCGCGATACACAAATGTACGAGTGGTAAATATGTAACATTTATATGTACCTGTTTATGCAAACATTTTTTGGAGTGCTTTTTTTTTTTTTTTTTTTTTTTTTTGAGAATGTAGTGCATCACTGTTTTGTTCCATGTGCTTGTTATTTCACTTCTCATTTAACCCCAAGTTTTGCGAACCACTATTTTTGTGCTGCCGTACCTATGGTAGCATAAGAAGAGTATGGTAAGGAAGATACATTCTGTGATTGAACATAATTTTCCATCTGTGATTTTTTTTTCCCCCAACCTCATGTGGAGCTCACATTTAAAATATATGAAACATGTGCGCGCAGCATTCGTTGCGATGTAATATACAGCCAGTCATTTTAGCCACTCATCATTGTGTCGCTACTTCTGTACAACGCCTGTAGAATATTGGGGCATGGAAAATCCTGCCTCATTTTGTGCGCATATGCTTGAAGTTAGATAAATGTACATCATACAAATGTATGCCACAACAATTTATGCTTGTGTGCACCCCGAAATTGCCCTTTATTGTGGCCCGAATAAAGGCCAATAGGCCACCCATGTGGTTGCACATGCATATATATATGTATATATATATACATAAATAAATTACACGTTTGAGATCGTAATGGTACTGACACCACCTCCTATGGTATGCACACTGGTGACGCGAAATGTATAACCCCTTGAGCTATTCCCCCTGTGGAAAATACCTTTCGCTTGCGAACAGTTCTATTTTTCAAAAAGGGAAATCGCGGAAGCTGTGAACACTGATTCGGGGTTGTGTATAGGGGAGATAATAAACTGCTACCATATGGTTGTATTGTAAGAATGTGCCAATTTTTTTTTTTTTTTTACGTCACATTTCGACCAGTTTGTCGTGAAGTATGGAATTAAGAGTTATTGCATTATTGCTTTTCCTATTTTCCATTAATCCTGTTGAGAGCTACGCTTTGAACAAAAATTTTGCATTTTTGTTTGGCTGTAAGGGGGCTCCAGGGAGAAGGGGGACGCATTTACGGCTTAAAATTAACGAAGTCATTAATTTTAAAGGTAAATAAAAAAAATAAATAAATGAGAAAAATGTAAACAATGTTGCTGCAAATGTGTCTATGCACGTAATGTTCTGTGTACCTACTAAATGGAGCATCCATAAATATCCCATGTGCCTGTAACACATAATAACATTGGCGTTTTTTTTGTTGACGAAGCAGACAAGGATGACCTGAAAAGGGAAATTGTTACTCATGCGAGGAATATATCCTTAGATTTGAGTGACGAACAGGTAAAAATAACGAAAAGAAGAAATTAGATTACGGCCTCCTAAAATGAGCACGTCGACAATACAATGCGAACCTCTTACGTTTCAATTTTGCAGATAAATAATATAGGGAAGAATTTATATGAGTTTTTTTCCTATCTGAAGTTGAAGGATATAACAATAGTAAACAAAAAAAATGGGCAAAAGGTGTCAAAAAGGAGGATATATATGACAAACACGTGCGTGGATGTGTGTACATTCATGCACGTGTAGTTGTGCACATATGAGTAGGTATGTGCACGCGGATTGGGAAAAAGTTTTCCCGTGGAAAAATCACATTCTCGTTTCACCTCGTTAAAGGGAGTACGGCGGGGAAGAAGTAAACGAAGCGGGAAGGCATTGCCTCTAAATTGTGAGGACAACAAATATAAACAGGTACGCACGAAGGTTTTTTTCTCCATTTAAAGCTGTCCTTGCATAGAACAAATTGGGGCATGCATATAAGTACATATATATATGTATTACACGTGCACAGTTTTGCTTTCAATTGTAACAAATAAATAATTTTTAACATGTCTTTTATTTTATTTTTTTCCCCAGTTTCACACACAAAATATGAAAAAGGAAGGCGATTATTATGTTCAGGATTCGGACAGTTATTCCAATTAAGCAACGCCATTTTTCTGATGGGAATTTTGTTGATTTCTTTGCAAAATAAAAATGTAAATTTTGTAAAGAGTTCATATACTTGGAATATATACTGACGTGCGCTGTGGAAATGTTCAAGGCTCATTATTTGGTGTCTTGTATAAAGAACGCGCTTTAGACAACCGCGTATTTTGTACTATCACCGTTGATGAATTAAGTTCTGCATACTTTTTCATTTGGGATTGGTTTGATTTAAAATGGCGTTTTTTTAATATGTACATGCGCATGTTCGGTGCAATCGCGCCCATTGTTATATAAACATAATTGCTGCAGCTTATAAAATATGTTGCAAATTTTGCTACTTTTGCGTGTTCTGCTTTTAAGTAGAACTTTTTTCCTATGGGTTACTTTTAACTCTGAAATTTTTCAGCAGTTTCGTTCCCTAATTTGTGTGTTACCATTTCGTTTTGAAATACACAAAAAAAAAAGCTCGACGGGACATTATATTTTCTCCAATAAATTATATTTAAACTTTGCATACGCGCTTGGATGTTTTGATTCCTCAGTCAGCGCTCGTTTCTCCACCTTTTTCTTTCGCGTTCGCCATTACTTTGCCTGTCTCTATGTTCATCTATTTCACGCGTCTGTTCCCATCGTCGTCGCCTCTCGCGATTCCATTCCATTCGTCGCTGTTTTTCTCTTTTCCCACTTCGGCCATCGCTAAGGTCACTTCTACTACAACTGCTATATTCACTGTCACTTTTCCCTTCCCTCTTCTTTTTCGACTTTCTATGCCTAGCACGATGACGACCACTGCCACTGCTGCTTTCGCTTTTAATTCCGCTGTCAGTTTTACTTCCACGTTCCGTGTTATCCCCTCTTCTTTTCAGCTGCCGACCTGCATCCCGAACTCTGTCCTGGGCTGATTCATCACTTCTCCCGCTCTCCCGCTTTCGCGCCTTCCTCTTTGGGTTTTCCGATTCATCACTTCTCCCGCGCCCCCTCTTTCTCGATTTTCTCATATTCTTTTCCTCTTCCGATTCAGACTCTGCGTCTGAGTTGATATGTCTTTTGTTCCTCTCCTTTTTATGTTTTTTTCTTTCTTTTCGTTTCTTTTCTCTTTTTTTCCTTTCTCTTTCTTCTTTTTTCTTTTCTTTCCTTCTTTCTTTCGCTCGTCTTTTTTCCATTTTTTTGTCTTCCTTCCTCCTTTTGATCCTGTCTTTATCTTTTTCCCTTGATCGCACGATTTCCTCTTCACTCGACGAGGTATAGCCTGATTTGCCACCTTGTCTATTTATCGCATTCGCTTCGGGCATTTCCCTAGCGTGCTGCAACTGCAAGAGTCTCCTTTGTTCATCCATCATTTTCTTCTTTTGAAATTCCATTTTTTTAATAATAGTTAGTGGATCTTCTCTGATTTTATTCAAATGGTCTACATTATTTTTTTGTTTTACGATTTGCTTTTTGGCTTCTTCCGCTTCTTGGATTAACTTTTGCATATCAATTTTTTTCCCCAACAGATATTCTTCCTGTTCTTTGGCCTCTTTTTCTTCCTTCGTTTCGTACATCCATAGTATGTCTTCATCTACTAGATCATTAATGTTGTTCGCTTTCTTTTCTCTTCTTTGTTTTTTCTCGGTGTACAGTTGGCATATCTTGCCATATTCTTCCATGTCATTGTAAATGTTCTCCATTGTGTTGAATGGCTTGTTGGTGAGCGGTGGTTACGATGGTTGATTAAAATGGCCGTTCCGCGGATGGTCAAGTCCGTGTGGTCAAGAAAATTATGATAGGGGGCTTCTCAACGTGCTTTCTATTCTTCTGAAGTCCCCTTTCTCATGCTCATTACACACCTAACATGTTTGCTAATTCACAATTGGCTGCTCTGAAGAATGGTCCGCTCGTTCCTTTTGACGCGTCAGCATTTTCCCTTCTTTTTGCGCCACCAATATTGGGTTATTTTGGGGGGTTGCAATTGTAACGAGTTGGGAAAAAACGGAGGCAAGAAACGAAAGGAAAAGAGAGAGCGCGATGAAACTGACAACAGAGGAATGAATTGGGTGACTGTGAAGGAACAATTCATGGCATACTTTGGCGTAAAAAATAAAATACATCGATTATGGCACGAGTGGCATTTTGTTCAGGTGACATTGACCACCTTAGCGTAAACGTCGCATGATGAGGTTGCCTGCAAATAGAGAAATGTCGCATATTTTTCTTGCTCACGTTTGTATATTCTTCCTTTTTTGACTTCTCATTAAAGTTTATCGGGGTCAAAAGGGAAAATTTTTTGTAATCGCCCATGCTACGTGCACAATTACAAGAGTAGTGTGGCGCAAGGACAAAAACAAAAAGGGATTAAAAAAAAAACCCAATCGTACAAATTATTTATTTTTAGGAAAAAATACACATGGCGAGTTAAAAAAGGCATTTAAAAAATTTTGTAAGAAGAACTTAGCCATTGCGGCTCAATTTTTTCTGAGTGTAGGGTCGGAAAGAAGCAATCACAGGGTAGCCTCCTTTCATGGTCATTTCTCCTATGTGCATGTGCGGTTTCAATGTACAGTGCTAATGCGAGTTTTTGCGGGAAGATGTGATATGGCAAGTATATGCCAATTTCTGGTATGATTCTTTTTGTTGGTATCTTGCCCCCCAAGTGGCCCAACCCAAGCACATGTATAATGTGCATCTTTTAATCGGCATTCCAGATGTTTCCCGCGTAATTTGTACATTTTATGCAAAACTATCCCTTTTATGAATACGAAAGGGAAGAAGAAAGCAACATGACATAGGAAAAAAAAGGAAGGGAACCTCCACTTGAGAGAATCGGTGAAGATGCTTAAAAAGGGTATTGAGTTGTAAAATAAGTCACCTATATTCTGTATCCCACCACCACCACCGTCGCAGCAACATGACATTCCCTTTATCTAGGTACTTGTTTACAGCTGCATTGGGCGGTTATTACTGTATAAACAGAAAAAACAGTGTCTGTTATTGCGAAAATAGAAATATAGAAGAAAGAGTGTTCCTGTTTGGCGATAGGCGATCGTTGATGAAAGGAACAGAGCAAAATGGGGAGGTACCTTTTTTTTCTAAAAATAACATAAAGGTAAAGAAAATAACCTTTGGTAATTGTATAGGTAGTTGTATAACGGAGAATGATGATATTTACATATGGGGGTCATATGAAGATGATGAACACAAGGAACTGGTCTATACAACCCCAGTGAAACTCAACACAGAAGAAGGAATTACGGACATACAGTTTTCGAATAATGATATATATCTTATGAGCAAAAAAGGAGAATTAAAAATTGTTAGAAATTATAAAAATTGTTTAAAAAGAAATGAATTCATAGTTGAAGATTTTTACAAATGTGAAAATCGTTTTTTTTTTCAGAACGAACGAATAATCAAGTTAAGTGTGAATAAATATCACCTAGCCTTTGTCACAAATAAGGGACATGTGTATTGCTCAGGCAACAATTTGTATGGACAGTGTGCAAAGGAACCATCATTTAGGAATAACTTCAATATAAATTACAATTTCGAATTTGCCAACAAAATAAATGGTACGTTACATATGTTTAGTAAAAATAGCGTTGGGGGCGTTGTTCATAATGGAGGGGACGACCCAAATGAATATGCCCAAACGGAGAATACCCCCAATGGGTACTCCTTCAGTGTTAAGGATGAAGGAATAGAGGTTCCATCTGCAAGTGCTGATTCGCGTCATGGAATGTTTTCTAGTTCACCGGATGGAATGATTGAGCGAGGGGATACACCTGTGTGTCGCACCCACAATGTGGACCAAGGTCTGAAAGAGTTAAACGATAATAGTAATTCTTTGGCATACACCAATTTACATCGCGAAAGGAAGGAAGAATACGAAGATGAGGAACGCTTGAGGCATTTAATCACGAATGATGAAAGCTACAAGTGTGATGAAAATAATTATGTACACATTAATAAAGTACCATTTGAAGGGAAAACAAAAATTGTTGATGTGTCCTGTGGACTAAACCATACATTGTGTGTGGACGATGAAAATAATATTTACAGTTTTGGAGACGATAGTAAAATCCAACTAGGGTTGGGAGAAAGCAGAACAAATAAGAATTCCCTGTCAGGAACCAGCTGGAAAGATCAGTTAAAACTTGGCTATTCCACTATAACAAAAAATTTGGCAAATTATTCTTTTTATGATAGACATATTCAAAGTAGTCCACAGAAGGTGCTAAAGAGAATGAATGACAACGAAATGGTTGATGAGATTTACAAAATTAATGCTGGGTCGAATTTCTCCATGATACATTCAAATGACAAATTTGGAAAGCAGTTGTTCTGTTTCGGCGATAACATGTATTTTCAGTGTGGACGACATATGGGCAAACATCAGCAGACATTATCTACTGTAAAGTTGCCTAACAACAAAATAAAAGATTTTTCCTGTGGTGATAAGCACTGTTTGTTAATTTTGAATGATAAACTTTACGGCTGGGGGTACAACAACAAGCTTCAAATAACTCCATACAAAAATAAGGGAATAATTAATTATCCGGTACATATCTTGTCCGAAAAGTATTATCCTAACAATTTTAACATTAAGTATGTGAATGCCAGCTACAACAATTCTGCTATTGTCATTACGCAGGGTAATAATGAGTGAAAGGTAGGACACGCACAAATACACATATACGCCGCATTGGCACTTGTGAACGCCATTTTAATTTTTCCACTGTGTGGCTTCCTTTTTGAATGCGTTTTTTTTATTTATTTTTCATACGTTGTTTTTTCAGGGGATTGGATCCCATTTGGGTATGTTTTTTAAATCAACCTAATTCTCCCCAATTGGGGCATCATTTTAATGTGGAAAAACTGTATTCACCATTTCGCGCCACGTATTGAAGGTAACTGCGAGGGTCATGCATTTGCGCAGCATGCTGGAGGATTCGTTTTTTTGTATACATTAAGGAAAAAAAAAAAAAAAAAAACAGAAAACTGATAATGTTCTTAAATTTACATTTTAACGCTCAGCGCAGAATGGTAACATGAATAAGAGTGATCTCCTGTGGGTTGGGAGTTTTTATGAGCAATAAAGGAGTCATGCTTCTATATTACGGAAATAAATTTATTGAGCGGTGAACATATGGGCGCAAATGCAGGGATCGCGCGCAATGGAAAAGGCATATGCGAGCAATTGGCGAATATCTAGAAAAGATAGATTGTTATGTTATTTATAAATTTTAGTGTAAACAAATATAGCAAAACTATTACTAATTTTTACATTTTTCTTGCGTGATAATTTTTTTTATGGGGAAAAAAAAAATATGTTTTAAGGACTTCGGTACCGGCTGGGATCGAACCAACGACCTTGCGGTTAACAGCCGCACGCTCTAACCAACTGAGCTACGGAACCTTAATATGAATTGTACAAAATGTAACTCACTTCATAATTTATGAGCATTTTACAATGACCACCTTTTGAATAATGCTACAGTGTTCATATATATAGTGTTGCAATGCTTTTACCCAAATGGAGGATTATAGCCATGCTAACAGCGCCCATACTTGAAAATTTCTAAAATATTTAATTTGTACTATTTTGATCATGTGCACAACAAGTGCGCGCAATTTGACGAGATCAGTATATTAAAAGGAAAAAATAAATAAATATGTGCACAAAGTTAAAAAAGTATCACATTGTAACTATTAGTATATATATGGAAAAAATAATGCCACTTTTTTCCACCTCCAAAAATCGCGCGGGAAAGTGCTTGAAACACTTTTCACGTCAAGCAGCAGAATGTTTAAAAATGTTTCTTGCCTTTTGAATTTGAGGAATTGTGCGAATTTAGCCCACAATGAGCGACAGCAAAAATGAACGAACCGCAGAAACCACATTTTAAGAAAATTCTTATCATTAGTTTATGTAGATCGAATTATTACTTTAAGAATATACAACATCCAGGTGAGCAATTTTAAAATTGCTGCAACCATTTTGTAATGCAATTGGATACGCTGGATGTTGCACATTTAGAGCCTAAATAGATTATGCACTTGTACACAAGAACGTTAGTGTCACAAATTATTTTAAACAAACATTATATAACTAAAAAAAGCGCAAAAATATATGGTACATGAACAAAGGAGATTGATTAATGTATACACAAAAAACAAAGCTGTCTTTTTGAAATTTTTTTTTTTTTTAAAACACGCATTCAGGTTTATCATTCGAATGTTCTTTTTTTTGCATGGGGGCAATTCACTTTTTATAACTCTTATTTGTAATATGTTTGGTCAAATTTTTGGTCAAATTTTCCTTATTTTTTTCGATGATGTCGTGAGAATAGGTTCACTCTGTGTTCCATAAATTTTGTGAATGTAGCATTGTTGTTATGTTTTACCTTTATATTAGTAAATACATGCATGTTGTCCGAATGATCGGTATCCATTATTTCACAAAGGAGTGTTTATTAACAGGATATATGCTAAATCTTCTGCTAACTTTGTTCTTATCACTATCTAACTTTTCACAAGGCGCTAAGCGCGTAAATTTTTTTTTACTTGTACACATCTGAAAATTAAAATAGTTACTGTAAAAGTGAAACGTTGCTTACCGAAAGTGCACGTATGAGACAATTGAGGCGGTTATGTCTGTTATTAAATAAGGGACAAAAGAACATAGAACCAAGTGGATTAGGGGAATGGGCATGTAATTGTGACCACTAGGTATACACTTTTATGAGAGAATTCCAATATGTAGGTGCACTATATTGGGAACAAACCATGAAAAGGTATTGTAAAACTACGACGTGCCAACTATATATGTTATTAACTGCATTAATGTTGAGGCTATCCGCAATCGTTCCCTACGCGTGAAATGGTTAATGCACACGAAAGCGGAAACTCAGAAGTGTATAACTTTTAATATCCTACTGGCTTGCTTAAAAGAACAACAATTGTGACTTTCATAATCGCTATTCTCATCATTATATGTTACGATCCTTTCTAGCACCATAGAATTGGTTATGTTCCCAATTCATGTGTCGGCAGGTGCCTAGTAGACATCAATTCATGAGGTGCATCCTGGTTATGTGCATCTTTGAAAGGTTTGTCAGAGTTGCATAAATGAGGAAAACAAAAAAAAGACAAAAAGGATACTAATTAATACAAGCATATATATATCGACATCTATACTGCAGTGTGCAAAATTAAAGGACCAGACATGTTAGATGTGCATAGAAAGAAGCGTTTAAACTTGTGTGTAACATGTGCCGCACAGTTACAAATGTGGGCATAGCCAAATTATAAGAGTAAATTAAATAATTTGTATCACAAGGGAAGGAATTAATTAATTTTTTCATTTGAAAATAGGTTTCATGTTCTGTGAGTGTTAATGTACAAAAGTGGTGATTTATATGGTTCTACTCTCATGAGAGGTGTTTTAAGTACAGTTAGATGTTATGCTTAAACTGATAACCAATTTTTAATATGTATATAATTTTTTTCTTTTTTGTTATATCTTAAAGCTGTGTTAAAATATACATATATAAATCAGTGTTATCATATTTAAGAATAAAAAAAAAAAAAAAAAAAAAAAGAAGAAAGAAGAAAGAATTATACTTATATATATAACTTTATTAAGAGTATATTTAAAAATGTAATGAAATCAAAAATTCATTAATCATATAAAACAAAAATATCGAAATAATAAATACATAAGAATGTTTCCATATGATAACAACGTCATATGTTTAATGATTTAAGCGGATACTTTTGGGGGGTATAATATTTTTGCAGGATATTATTCACTAAAAAAACCTCTATTAAGTTTATTATTTTACTGAGGATGCATTAACATTACTACAAAAAAAACAGAAAGGAAAAAAACATATATATAATGTTATATATTGTTATCTTTTAATTATGTGTGCTGCGGAGCATGAACAATTATAGTACAAAAAATGTCAATGCTACAACACAAATGGTCATAAAAATATTTGGTGATGCCATATGTAAGAAGAACATGGTTATTAATATATTAAGTTGTGAAAATAAAAGAAGGTAATCATGAATGAATGCACTATTCCACTGCAAATTGTTAATATATGTAATAATTTTATTCCAAATTTCCAAATATTTTCGTTTAAACGTACTCATTTCCTCATAGATTCCATCAAGTGCCGTTAGCTCTTTGTCCTCAATGTCTATATCCATATCAAGATAATGCCGGAGGTAATCTGCTTCTCCAGAGGGTTCAGTTTCAATCAAAATTTCAAATTCTTCAAAATCTTCCACGTCCTCCTGGTTGTCTACTTCGTCATATCCATATGATCTTTCGGAGTCTGAATTAGCCTGTGGCGTATTGTCTTTCCCATTACTTACATAATTTTGTCTACGTGTTAATTCAGGATTTCTGATGTTAATAATTTTGTCTTTAGTGTTAAGTCGTGGATAATAATTTAAAAACACATTATAATAAGATATCAATTCTTGTAAGCATTCTTCTCTTTCGTCATCATCCATATCCTCTAAGGAATTTAGACTTGACTGACTGCCGTAATTATAATTATTATACTCGGTTAAAACTCTAAACTTTTGAACACTGAAAACGTGTGGCTCACATTGTTTATCATCACATAACTTATTACATGAACTCTATAAAATAAAGTTAGGAATGAATAGAAATATGCGTCACCAAGTGAGTGCAACGATTTTCGATATGAGAGGGAAGGCATAAAATATGAGTAAAACTATTTTAACATGTTTCACATATTCATTTTAATATTACATCATTAGAATTTAAAGAAATCCAAGAAGAGAAGCTACATATTAGCACTGTAGTATAAAGAAGAAACATATTTGTTCTTCCTATTTGAAGGAATTTCTTAATAATCACCGTGCTCGTGATAGGTAATAAATTGTTCTCAAGCATTCTTATAATTTTTCTTACATAATATAGAAAAATGTACAGTAATTATGAAGTTTTATGTTTTTGTCATTGGCCCTTATTTTCTAAATTATGAACAAAAATGGTACAATGAAAAAATTAAGTTAACGAATTTGAAACATAATTAAAAACAGAAACAAAAAAAAAATAATGAACAGGAAGATTTAAGAAACAAACATTAGTACTGAATATTACATCTGAGAAAATTATGAAGTCATTACTTCTTAATATTATAAAAAGAAACAAAATTTGCTAATTTATTCTCTTTACATAGTAGTTTTGTTTTATTAATTGATTATTAGAAAAAAAAGATACGAACAAAAAATAATAAATATAGAAGTTTAAAATATTGGTCGGAATAATTATTCTTTCTTATTAAGCATGGATTGCAAAAGAGGAGCACATATTTGTACTATATAAATATTAAAAACAAACCGCTACGATTGTTACATATCGGATTCGTAAAATACTATAATATGCATTATTTTTATAATGGAAGTTGTACGATTTATTATATAATAAAAATGTGACAATGGACAATGTTCTTATGCATAATAAATGTATGAATTAGAATTTGCTTTTATATTATTTATGTTTAAATAATACATATTTGCATTATATACAAAATAGGGATTGGCACAAAATGCATAAGCCCTATTTTGTTATAATACATAATAGCAAAAGTATTTATACTTGAAAGCAACCCTTCATAAATGGGTAAAAAGGAAGATTTTATAGGGCATTTAGTAAATTTAGGATTGATTTCTGGTAATAATTTAGTTTATTACGTTGTATTGATATATTTATGTGTTAAAAAATTGAAATGTATAATAATATGTTGTAATAGAAATTGTACGTTTTTTTATAGTATATATAATTATTCGATGTTACTTGCGTTATGTCATGGTGAATAAATTTTTGTATTGTGCAAACAATATATTTGTAAAGAAAAGGAAATATGTAGTTAAAAGATGAGAAGCGTATATAAAAAAAGAGGAAGGGGAAAAAATATAAAGCTATTTCATATAACAATTCCTATTAATTATTGCAAATGTAGCTACCCAGCTTAATGTCTTAGTGGACATTATTCTATTAGATCTGTAGTGAAATATTTGTAAATAGAAATTTTACATATTAGGACAGTGCTAATAGGAAATTCGTCAATTATATAACGTTCTGGATAAATTCAGAAGTTAGAGTTGCTGCGGATATCAGTGCAAATAGTAATTCATGCACTATGTTGGAAGGCAGCTAAATGCTAAGGGAGCATTGCATTCATAAAGCTGGTACGTGTGTAAATCCTGTTTTATGCTTATATAATGTGCATGCATACATTTGTTCGAAACGGATGCGTCATATGTATGTAGTTGATATCATGTAATAATATGCACATAAGTGTTTATGCTGTTTAAGAAGCATTCGTTCTATTAAAATAAACTTCTATCTTCAGCATTTTAGTACAATGCATATGAATAATTGGAGCAATAAAAACAACAGTTAGGACTTTTGATTATCGTGGGAGGTTCACAGAAAAAGGACAATATCATTAAGAATATTACCTTATCCTTAAATTATTTTAAAGACGAGCAGAATATATATATGGAGGTAGTCGTACTTTGATTGAAGGTGCACACTGTGCACATACTGACATTTTTATATGCCGTTGAAAATGTTGACTGTGTAAGTTCTCTAAGGCTCAGTGTTAAGGGTTTATAGGTTAAGGGGTTCAGGTCTTAGCATGTGCCTTGTGTTCCCTATAAAAAAAACAAATGCACGTTTTAGGTATCTGTCCAAAGAATTTCCCACACCAATCAATCTAAAGTAATAAATTTTTTCGGACTCATGTCCATTACACATGGACAGTGAGCACTTTAGTATACTTCCGAAAGAATTAGAAAAAAAAAATAAGAAGGGACATTTCAAAGGCATTACGCATAATGATTTCTTTAATAATCATTATGTACGTATATGTACACTGTGCCTCACGCCTCTTTCCATATGACAACAAGGAGTTGAAGGAAGGTGTAGGCGGCCGTGCACAACAATGCATGGATTGATTAAATGTGGAAAAAAAAAAGACGTCACAGCTTCGGAGAATGTTTACTCCTACACTGAGCATGCCAAATTCCGTTCATAATGCCACCATGTTGCTCCTTCCCACGCACCGCTGATGTATTTTGTCCGCTCCCCATTAGTTAATCTTATGCGATCAAAACCATCTGGATTATGGTATGGGCGTTCTGCCTTGGTTAATATGCACAAGTTAACATTCCCTTGTGATGATTGTAATTCGGGAGGAGCTGCTTCTCTCTGTACATCTTCCCTGGGCGAGCGCACATAGGAAAATATGCGAGCAGCGTTCTTTAGTGGAGTTATCCTTTTAGCATGGAGGAAAGACGCGCCCACATGGGGCACCTGTTCCGTGCTATGATCTCTTGCGAAAAGAAACGACTCACATATTACCTTATTTACGAATATAACGCAGTGTATATTCTAGCGCGTAGAAGAAAAAAAAAAAAAAAAAAAAAAAAAAAAAAAAGACAAATTAAAGGATATTAAGTACATTAACGAACAAATATATGAACTTTCCCTTTTTTTATTACATAACGGGAGAAAAGGTTGGTGCTGATGGTAACTAATATACACATATTAATTATAAAAAATCTCAACAATATAATATAAACCCCATACACAAAATCTAATATTATGTAAGGGAGGAAAGCATCTTACTATTCAAATTTATATGAATAAAATGAAAAAAAATATAGAAAAAACAATTCTGCACATTTACATGTTTTTATACAGATAACTACAACATATTCTTGGACTTCAGTGTGCACCTAACAGTTTGCCATGACCCCCTAAAATTTCGATTACTCGTTGAATTTCTATTTGCTGCTGTAATGCAATGATCCAAAGAACACAAATACG